AGAAGCACATTAGCAACTTAGAATTTCATTTATCTCCCCAATTCCATAACTATGTTTGGTGGGGGGGGGGAGCTGATATTCAAAATAAAAACATATTATAGCTATATTATGAATGTGCAATTAGTGTCCCCCTAACAAGGTAAGACATAATATTTATGGAAGAAGGCTATCCCATTTGACCATGACATACCACATGGCCAGTTCAGTAGCATACAATTAATTCATGAGACACAATTTCAGGTTCAGCATAGATATAACAGCTACATGAAATAATCCAATCCTAATGTGGAACAACAAGAGTTTCTAGTTAAACTGGGGAATATCTCTAGTCCACATGATACAGCTGTGTTACCATCCTTGCAAAATAACTTTTGAATATTTAAATTAGTTTGTGATCAAAGCCATTTTTATAGTATCCAAGCTTTTTTTCAAACCTCACTCAAAATGTAAGAAACTGCAAAATGCTATTTCACACTGTAGGAACAAGAATTCAATACTGGAACTTTTTTCTTGGCCTGCTTATCTCTTTACTTTACACTAGGTTGACTTACACAGACACCTTAATATCTAATAAATAAAATGAAGTCCTCTAATCTTCTAGAGAGAAATAAAATTACTGTCTGGGAAAACCCATGGCGTAAAGTTAGGCAGTGAGACTAAGGCTTCAGCTCTGTATCATCTATATTTCCATTAAAGAAATAATATTTAGTTTTGGGATACCTTTAGTTATTATTTGTTTCAAAGACATGTCATCGTTCTTTATGTAAAATATTTCATTAAGAGTTGCTATACTTCGGTTGAATATTTTCTCTATGCCTATAGGACTCCTCTCCTAGAGAATAATGACCTTTTCCTACTACTGCATTTTGCTCAGACCTAAGAGCCTGGAAAGCAAAATAAAATAAAATATTAGACCAGTCAAACTTACCTCACAAAGTGATCTTACAGTATTTATGTATCCTTTGAATATCTAAACTTTTCAACATGATTATATAGGTTTCTCCAACATTCAAAGAATTATGAACAAGATGGCACAGCATGACTTAAGAAACTAAAGAGCATAGTGAGAAGAACAAGTAGGTTCAGTTCAGGACTGCAATTAATGCTGATTGCAACTCTTCCAACATCAGTATTTGTTTAATATACTTTCTTTAAACAGACTTATAAACTCACCACAAGATTAATATAAAATAAGTTAATGACACATAGGTAGATCACATGGAAGACATGAAGAAAAACTGGCTTTACATTTTCAAAGGCTTAAAATTTAAAGTTTGGCAATAGATTCAAATATTATCTTTAGGATTCTGAAGACTAAAAGCATCATAGAACTAACATGTTCTCAGCAAAATGAGCTATGCTCAACTAAATTTACAACTGCAACAGATGTTAACACCAGTTTTAACATGATTATCCTTCCAGTCCTTCTTCATCAGGCATCACCATAATTCCACAATTAAAAAGAGTGAGGAATCTGGAATTCCTGAATTCCTTCTGTGCTACTCCCATGTGACCCTGTTTGAAAATTTTGGTTATTTAGTGCAGAATATTCAAAAGCAGAAAAAGTATTAACATCTGTGAACACTCCATTAGTATTGTACACCTTAAAAATTATTGCATAGTTTTATGCATTATTCTAAAATACTAATCTGCTTATTAAATAGTTTTTAATAGAAACCACACAGTTGTCTGTGCATTTAGAGCATTTACTACCTTGATCTTCTATCCTTTTTGGATTTGTCTGTACATTTATCCATAGTCTTCTCATTGTCTCCTCTGCATTTTGGGCAATACCATTTTCCCTTTGGTTTATAAGTGAGTCCGACACATGAAAAATGAAACCACTCAATGGGACACAGATCATTGTCACAGCCTATCATTTCTCCATAAGACACTTGGTCACACAGACAATAAGTTGGCTCATTAGGGTCAACTGCAAATTCTACTGGTGAAGCTTCCCTTTCTTGTTTAGCTTTAGAGCGTTTTTTCTTCTTAGCAGATTTGGATCTTTTTTCTTTAGGTGGCTGGTCATCATATTCATCAATTCCATTTGCTATATGGCATATGTCACGGCTTTCACTAGTACGCTGCCGACGGGGTCTTCGTGAAGATCTCTCTGGTTGACATGGATCCTGTTTTGACTTTTCAATAGGTTTTTCAGTATCTGACAGATCTTGAAAGCACTGAGAGTGGGACTCTATCTGCCGGGCTCTGTTCTCCACTAACTCAAGCATCTGAGTAACTATTTGGATTTTTTCGTCTCCAAGTTCTTGACTGTTGATCAAAGCTCGCTGAAGATATTGCTGCAAACGCTTTTTCTGTGCAGGATCATCTTCAGCTTTGTATTTCTCATATACTTCATCAATTTCTTTCAAAGCTTCTGTTAAAAAGCAAAACAAGAGTATCACAAACTCAAACTCCCTAAGTCACTGCTTTCTATCTTATGAATATTATTTATAATATGAAAATTATAGTAATATGTCAGGGCTAGTTCTAGGATCCGCACTGCCTGACAAGATCAGCATTCTACTTCTGGCAGCTAATCTCTTGCTGTGGGAGTGGTGAGTGAGGCATTTTAAACTGCTTTATGGCCAGTTTGGCTACTTTATGGCTATTTGTCTTCCTCAGTCTACTTTGCTCTTGCCTCACTTGTTACCTCCACTGAATATGAGCAAGAAGCAATGTCTCATTTTTGGGGGATATTCCTCACCAGACAAGAGACAATGCTTCCCAGAGCTTACTGTTTCCTAGATACTGCTTTGGGCTGCAGAACATGACTCAGAGGGCCACATACAGTTCAGGAGCTGCACATTTGAAACCACCATTTTACAAAATGGCAAGCCTTTAGGATAAAAAAAAAATTACCCTCACTTTTTTTTGTTAAAGATGTTAATGTTATTTTAAATTATGTCCTGAAATTTTGGGATTTGATGATTTTTGAGAAGTGGTGGTTATATTGGGTCTGGGGTGTTGCTAAGAGATTTTGAAAAATTGGAAAAGTAGTAATATTTCTGATACTAAGGATTGGATTCAAGAAATATGTGACTTATTCATTTTTGAAAAGACAATTTATTAACTAATCAAAAATGACTCAATAGTTTTTTTGTGGCATAGATTTTATGATATTCTGTGATGTTAGAAAATCATATTTTTTTCCTAATATAGATTTAGAAATCTGTTTGACATTTGATTAATATGAGACCACTTTCCCCCTTTCTGTTCTTTTTTTGCTTGTTTGTTTGTTTTGTAGTTTTTTATATAATTATTTCTTGGGGGTTTTTGTATTTTGTAATTTTGTAATTTCTTTCTTTTTAAAGAAATAAAACAATAAACCCCAAATAAAGTTTTTTAAGTTAATATATTTGATGTTCTAATCTAAACACTAGCAAGTAAAACCTAATCTAAATAACACTTGAGAAATTTATCCATTATGTCCAGTTTTGTAAGCTGCCCAGAGTCACCCTCTGGGGGAAATGGGCAGCATATAAATTTAATAATAAATAAAATAAATAATGAGAAAGTTTCACTATTGAGTGAATTGCAGCAACTTTTGGAAGAAAAATAGGAACAAAACTTTTGGCAGGGTAATTATAGACAGCAATACCAAAACTGTGTTATTCAAGGTCTAAAACGTTAAGTATTATTTAATACATTATTAAGGAAAATTCAACATGCTTCTTTATTTGATTTATATCTACCTTTTCTCTAGGATCTCAAGATGGTGTACAAAGCATGTCACCCCACCTCCATTGTTTCCCACAACAGCAACCCTGTGAGGCTGGGCTTAGAGTAACTAGCCCCAATACAAACACTATAAAATTATACCCAACTATCTACAAAAAAAGTTTATAGTGGCAATCCTCAATATTCTTCTAGGGTAAATGCTGCTAAACTCAGTGAGACTCCTTCATAAATTGGCCTGTTGTGTGCTTGCCTCCCAAAGTAATTCGCAGTTCTAAAAAGGGCTAATATCTTCCTTTCTCTTGACTGACCTGCACTTCCTGTTATTTTGGTGCAAAAACTCCCACTGGGAGAAGATCGTCAAGCGAGTTTCAAATATGGAGGAGTAAAAGAGAGGAAAAAACCCCCTAGCTTTCTCACCACTGATGTACCAAGAAAGAGCAAGATGCTTTATAATTCACAATTAAAACACTGTACATGGGTCTACTTATACTGTTGGGCATCAGACTGCAATCCTCCCCCTTTAAACGCTGTTTACCTAACATTACTTTTATGGTCGTCGAAAGGAATGGCGACCCTTGGTTAAAATCCCTCATCACCGTCCTTGTAGTACTGTGAGGGAAAGTAAGAAACTATCTAGCAGCAAATGACTTAAACTTATGTGCTGTTAAGACTGGCACTCTAATAATTAGCAAAATGAGACACCTTACTCACTCTCATACCGCTGCTGAAACAGCATAAATTTATCTCCAGCTCTGAAACGTAACTGCCTACGGAGGCAAGACCTTTTCCTGAACGATACATTTTCACGTGTTTGCCACATCCGGAGCATCATCCAAAGCAAGGCAACGTGCCCCCTCGTCCCCGCCTCAGCTCGCGGGATCGTGGCCGAGGCCCGCGCGCGCGCTGCAAAACCA